TCGTATGGTTGGCCTCTTCAGCGACAGGTCTGTCAGCTGTTGGACCCGTTCTCCCAGTGTTTGCTGCGGTTAAGAACATTACCACCGATTAGATACTCATTTTATGGTATATATTATGGGATCAAATTAATAGTGATCGCAATTAGTGGTCGCATTCAGAGGTTGTGTGTCTTATCGCCGGTATTCATAGTCATGTCATCGAGTGGTGACACGACTGGACACAAAACTGACCACCAATTGGTTGCCTTAAGACACTGGCCATCGATGGTAAGCTGTGCGAGCAGTTAGTGTGCATACAGTGCGAGCGATGATCACCACAATGGGTAACACATGACCACAACCTCCTGAGCCGCGAATACAATACCTCTTTCTTTTTAGCCACCGCTTCGGCCCAATCCATGGCCAACACTATTATCACCGCAACGGTGACTAACGCCGAGACAATAGTCACGTGTTTTGCACTCATTTCGTGAATCGGTTTGTAATCGCAATTCAAATGAGTATTAATTGTAAACACAATTCAAAGCAATTGCAGTACACGTCGACTCATATGCACTGCCGGCTCATCGCAAATAACGTTACGATTTTCACATCATTTACTGAACCCTGTATTATCACATATGTATTGTGTGCGTTGACAGTTCAATATGATAACCACTCCCGTTATTAGATTACAGTATTCAAGTTTAAATATTTGTATTGCTAAGTTGCGCAAAAATCAAATAAGTACCCAGCACAATTTCATTTCAAAAGCAATTAGTTTTAAAAACTTTTATTAAATGCAATTAAAATAAATATATAAATGAATTCAAAGCATATATCATTAAATATCATATATTTTACATCAGATTATATCAAAATATTTCTATTCATAAATCATATAATAAACCAATAATTAGAAATACATTCAAATCATATCATTTAAAATGCAATCAATTATTATATCGGATATCAAAAGCAAATAAAATCCATTTTCCAATCAAATTATAATTATAAAAACGATTCATTGATCGACTCATTGGCGGTGCGATAGCGGGCGGGCGGGTCGTCCCACACGGCACTGGAGGTGCGCTTCTGGTACTTGGGGTGCAAAGGCTTCTTA